CAGAGACATACTGCCTTTGTACAAGGATCTATCACTTCTGCTTTGGGCAGACCACTCCTCCATGATTTTGTCTGATTCCCCTATAAGCCAGTGACCATGAGCACATCCTGTGGCTTTTTAGTACCATGCATTCATTATGCACAGCATGAATAAATACTTTGTCCTATTCTGCTGCCCACTTATTCCAATCCAAATTGTACATTTTAAAAACTTCTCCATAAGTTAAGAATGCACATGATTTGCAGTGCATGTTTACTCAGGAGTAAAACTTAAGTTTAGTAGGACTTGCCTAGGAGTGTATATAAGACGACAGCCATATTCTGCTTTTGTTGGTCATGGGGAAATGCACTGAACTATTGATTCTATATGGATGCTTCAGTTGCGAATCCTGCACTGCACTACATGACCCTTGGGGTGCCTTCCAACTCTATGATTCTATGAGTCCCTCCCCATGGTTCCTGACCCACTTTCTGGTGCCTGAGATTTCATCAGTTATTTTGCACACACTTTGAAGGCTCTTCTTTTACTAGAATCCTTTTGTTGAAATGAAACCTGAGGTTACCCAGATGCTGAATTCTACATCCACCCTCTAAATTTTGATGGCTTTTCCTTCACTTGCCCCACCTAAGTCACGCTTGGTCCCAGACAAAAACAAAACTTTATGGTCCAATACTGTGGTGAAATTTATCAGTGTGAATTGTTTTCTTCATTTTTTGGGAACAGACGTGGTGAAGCAGTGGGGAAAAATAAGTGCCTGCTTACTGCTGACCAAAGGGAATATCAACAAGAATTGAAAAAGAACTACAAGAAGTTGAAAGAGAACCTCAGACCAATGATCGAGAGGAAGATCCCAGAGCTGTATAAACCTATTGTGAAAGTTAACAGTATTTCAAGGTATAAGAATAGCCCTTTCCCCCACATGCCCAATAACCATAGCAAAATACAACATAGGATGGGGGGTAAGCAATATGGTTCACTCCAGATGATCAGCCTCAGTTATCATGGCCAATGGTCATTTTCTTCTTATTTATTTTAGGGGCTTATTCTAGTTTTAGGAAATATGAAAATCTGCCTCCACAGAACAGTTAAGAGCAGCTTCATGAAAAGGAGCTATCTACTTGCAGTGGATCAAATACTAGAGGATATGCAAATGTTGTTTGAAGTCGAAAGATTTCCCTTCTTTCTGTACTCAACAATCACATCTTCTAAGGGAGGGGATATTGAAACTACTTGCAGAAAAACAGATATTTTATTATAAATTGACATGGATATTTGCATGCACAGAGAAAACAGCTTTGTGTTTTCTCTAAATTCTAAAGGCCAGTTCACAATATTGCATTGTCAACACAATGTTCCCTGTATGTATGTATGTATGTATGGGTATCTATGAAACTTCATCTGTGGATGTTTGACCATACCAAGCTCAAGGAAATGTTCCTGAATGCAACCCAAAGCCCCTTCTGCGCAATCATGAATTTGCATCAATGTTACATATAAGCACATTCACCAAGCAGCAGATACGAACAGTTAACCAAAACAAATCAACCCATTTTTTAAGCACATTTCTATTGCATTTATTGTGATAAGAAACTTACAGACATTTGTATCTAGATTCCAACTTATATAAAATTATTGTTGTTTGAATGGGAATAATCTTACTGCTTGATGGAAAGTACTGCAATGGATCTGGTAATAACTTTTCTCATGGAAGTGGATGCCATTATGCTTTTTAACAAGTAAGATAAATTTGCAGGAGGATAAAGCAATGCTCTGTAATATTTAAATCTCATTGGATGGAGGCCACACAAATGCAAAATGGAGACCACTCAAGTGAGAACAATAAAACTCCATTTACTGCAAAAGTTATATTTCTTCCTATGGGCTACAGGGATTCATTCTAGTTACAGATAGGTAGCCGTGTTGGTCTGCCATAGTCAAAACAAAAAAAATTCCTTCCAGTAGCACCTTAAAGACCAACTAAGTTAGTTCTTGGTATGAGCTTTCGTGTGCATGCACACTTCTTCAGATACACTGAAACAGAAGTTGCCAGATCCTTCTATATAGTGAGAAGGTGGGGAGGGGTATTACTCAGAAGGGTGGTGGGAATGGGTGATTGGCAGATAGGGATTCATTCTAGTTAGAATATTTTATTATTGTAATTATAATTGTTATTTAAAAGTAGCACTATATTTCTTCTAATATTTGAAATACAGTGTTGGTTCCTGACTTTTATTTTTGCTTCATGTTGGGTGGGACTCATTTCCCTTCAGTTCAGTGTTCACGAGAGGCAAGGTAAAAACTTTGCCAATTTGTATAAATTTGTGGTCTAAGCCACTGAGCCTCTTGGGCTTGCTGATCAGAAGGTCGGTAATTCGAATCCCTGTGACAGGGTGAGCTCCCATTGCTCGGTCCTAGCTCCTGCCAACCGAGCAGTTTGAAAGCACGCCAAAAAGTGCAAGTAGATAAATAGGTACCGCTCCGGTGGGAAGGTAAACGGTATTTCCGTGAGTTGCTCTGGTTTCGCCAGAAGTGACTTAGTCATGCTGGCCACATGACCCAGAAAAACTGTCTGCATACAAACACCGGCTCCCTCGGCCTATAAAGCGAGATGAGTTCCACAACCCCAGAGTCGTCTGTGACTGGACTTAACTGTCAGGGGTCCTTTACCTTTTTTATGTATATGGTACTGTGAAATGGTACTGTATTGTGGGAACTTTTAGCACTTAGCAGTTCTTTTGTTCTTAAATGGCCTAAAATTAATCTATGAAATAGAAAGCGCAGTGAAGGGGGTGGAGATTCCAGTGTGACAGGAGAAGCAGCTCCGACAGCAGAGGAGGGGGGAAGGTCGGAGCAAGACAACCTCCCAGAAGGGGAGGGGAGTAGTACAGGGAGCAGTGTAACTGTCAAGAGGAAGGTTAGAGGTTGCGAACGCGCGCCAAGTTCAAATGTGGAGGCGCGCGGAAGCACAGGGAGCTCGGAGGAGGAGCCAGGTGCCAAAGCACGCAGGAGGGGGCAAGAGCCGTCTGGGGATTCAGCGTCAGGGGAATCCAGGAGGGGCGAAACCCCAGGGGGCAGGAAGACCCTGCGGAAAAGGAAAGAAAGGAAGAGGTGGAGCAGCACAGCCCTCTTAAACTGGTGCAGAGGAGGGACTGACTCAGAGGGGACTTCAGTGGTCTAAGCGTAACAGACGTGGGGCTGCGCGCCTCGGCTGTGGAGCGTACAATGAACTTCAATAAACATTTTAATATATAAACTGGACTTGGCGTTGGTCTCTTGTGAGCTGGGACCTGAGGCAGCCCTGACACCTAGTTTTGTAATTTGAATGACTGCTAAAAATACCAGAAAATTAAAGTTTGGTTCAATTGCTAGCCTTACACTTTCCCCTTACTTAAGATGGGCTGTTCACTTTTTTAAAAAAATAATGCTATTAAAGCTCTGTATGTTTATCTTTTAAACCATTAATTCATCAAATACCTTTCTTAAATGTCTGGAAAAGAATAGCTTTCCATTTGCAAAAGAGCTTTCAGATTAGCCCCACTATAAGATTATGCTTTGCCAAAACTGGGTGTGCCTACTTGGGACACCTGTTCTCGCTGCTTCATCAATTTTGTTCAGATTTTATTTTTAGGGTCTCAGACCCACCTCTAACGGGGGGAACAAGTGTATTGGAGGAAAGGCTGTAGCCAGGGTTGCCAACTTGAATAAAATTTGAGGGGCAGGTCAGCCCCCCCTACTTTATCATTGATGACATGACATGGTGCATGCACATACAGTACTAGCTGTGGAATCTAGACTGTAATGTTTTAATTCATCTCGCCTCTTGTTCAGATCAGATATGAAACAAAAAGCCCTCTCCATGAGAAGACTTGATTAGTCAAACGAAGCAGGGAGAAATCCTTTACTGGGCAATGAAATTCACTTAAAACCAAGAATTGAGAAGAATGGCCTCTGGTTTCATCTATCAATCTTTCAGGATGATGGATTTATCATGCAAGGAATGTGCAGTTTTCATTCATTTGTTGACTTTAAAATAGTCAGCATTTAAATGAGCATTTCCCCTAATATAGGTAATTTCTGCAAGCAATTTCCCCTAATATAATGCATTTCTGTAAGTTATTTTCACAAACACCTTTGTTTTCAGAATACACATTCGTGTATTTTCACAACTTTGTGAAACACATTTTTGTTTGGAGAGTTGCATCTCAAAATTTTGCATCTCAAAATTTAGAGAAGTGTGAATTTTGAATGATAGTGACGTCTCAGTTCACTTTTTGCTGGCACTTATGGGCTCCCTAGCACCACATGGAGCTTGTTCAGAGCCCTGAAAAATAAAGCAAGGGCTTCTTCTGGTTGCTTGGGAGGCATCTATTTTGGAGGGGGAGGGCAGACACTGCTTTGTGGTGGGGGGCATAGGAATTTTGCTAGCTTTTTTGTGGGGTGGGTGAGAAAGTGGTAAACTGTGGCACCCATAATAGTTTCTTAGTTTTCCTGATGTGCTTCCAGGGCCAAAAAAGTTGTGCTTTATTTTAAGTAGGTAAAGTCAAGCCTATGTCTGGTTTAAAAAGAAACAGTTGCATCCAGTGTAGAGCTAAGTAACTCATGCTATCAGTGCAAGGACTTTCGCTTGCACAATGGAAACTCCCCCCTCTTCTCACTTCCCCTTGAATTTATTCTAGAGCACATACACACACACCCCGAGCAGATTTGGAGAGGGCAGGGGTGCACATGGGAGCTGGGAATGGGGGGAAGTGCTGTTGCACAAGCGGAAATCCTTGCACTGCCACCTAAAAGTGGGAGCAGGGGAGGGAGAGAGTTTATATTTGTTCATCTGACAGCAGCCAGGGAGCAGATTGAGCAAGCTCCTAGGTCAATCTGGTGCTGCTGTGATGAGATGTATCCAATTTCCATTTATATTGTAGTAATTATTTCTACCTTTCCACCGATACATATAAATAAGCACAGAAACATTTTGTGCCAATTTGGTTTGTTTTTTGTTTGTCTTTTTGGGTAGTGCTACGTCATTGGCCATCCTAGCTTAACCCCCAACGCAGAAAAAGCGCAAGCTTTTAAAAAGTTATAATTGCTTCTTTTGTTGTGTTCCGGACACTCTTGAGAAAGCTCAGAACCCCGGAGCCACCTGTCCCTCTCTCTTCCAGGAAAGATGGTGGGTTTGGAGAAGTGGATTCACTTGGCTTCGCTTTGGCGTTGCGAGCTGCTGAAATGATGTACTTGGTGACCATGGCAATGTGGTAGGTCCTCAAGTCAGAAAGGGCTGCCACACACATGTTATATGCAGAACAGAGCTTCTCCTTGCCAGAGGATAGCACATGACTCCTCAGTGGGGGAAGGGACTGGATTTCCTCAATGAAGGCCTGATGGTGAGGGGGCATGTACTCCCTCATTCCATGCAAAAATGTGGCTAGCAAAAGGACACAGAGAAGATGAGTGAGTAGGATTAATAGTTCAACAGTGTGTGTGTTAATACATAAATATTGTACTGTTATGCAGCAGGAATGGGGGTGTTGCTGGACTCCAGCTCCCATCATCTCTGCCCATTGGCCATGCTGCTTAGGCTCATGGGAGTTGGGAGTCCAACAATGTCTGCAGGCTCAACATTTCCCCCATCCCAGTAATAAATGAAGGTCAGGATGATAAAAGCATACCTGGTGAACTATACCATTTCAGACCACAGGTGGATAAACTGTGTGTTTGTCTCCTCTCTTTTCTGTGATCCTTTCCTACATTGGTAGCCAAAGTTGGAACTTCAACTCCCCTAACCATTGGGCAATGTGAGCTAGGGATGATGGGAGTTGTCTACAGCATCTGAAGGGTGCTTATAAGGTGCATATTGAAAAGGGAAGTCTGGTCACCTATACGTGTGGGTTTCCATGCAACCAGGGTTCCCGATCATGAATGCATTGCCTGCTGCCATGTGTTGGAGGCTGGAGCCGTTGCTTCCTTGGCAGCCCTTCATCCAGCAGTACTGGCTTGCCTCCACAACTGCAGGTGCCTGGGGCCTCACGCAATCACCAGGTTCCGCACAAATGCTGTGGGGGAAATGCTCTACATCTCCATGAGCCCTGGCATTTGCTTGCTATGTTATCAAGTGTGAGCGTGCACATGGTGGGGTGATGTAGCACGTGCACACCAGGGCACCCACGGCTCCTCTACTGTGTCGCCTCTACAGTGGCCTCTCAGTGAATAGGGTTAGGGTTAGAGTTAGGAAGGAACTGGCAGCGGCTGTCCTCTGGGGTCTTCTGGGTTCTGCACCTGCTAGGCATGATTCAGAGTGGGCCCCTTCCCACCCCATGATGGAGTTTGAGTCCCACTTCAACTGTCAGGTAAGGCTGATTTGATCCCCCTCCTCTTGTTCTCAATCTAGATATTCACTCATTCCTTCTTCCCTGGGGCAGGGGTGCACCATTTTGTGGTTCAATTCAGCTGCCAAAATGTCTTGGGACAGCCCTGCCACAGACCATCTACACAAACCACATGCAGTGCATGTATGTCTCCAGTTCATCAAAGCAACAGACTTACTGCTTTCCCTACAATGCTGGATTCCAAGAAGTTCATCAAAGGTGTGCAGTGTGGTGCTTTGTGCTGCACTCGCCCCAGAGTACACCAGAGGCTTGTCCGAGATACCCTCATAGATCAGCCCTTCTGGCAGGGCAGGATTGTCCTTCCATCTAAAAGGAAGTAAAGGCAGTGAGAGATTGCGTCTCAAGGAGCTGCATGGTAGATCCAATAAGCAGTAGTAATAATACTAGATTGTAATTATAGTAGTAGTAGTAATAATAATAATAAATTTTATTTGTATCCCTCCCTCCCCAGCCGAGGCCGGGCTCAGAGCGGCTAACATCATAAAAACAACACAATATGCATAAAAATAGACATCAATTAATTAAAATACACCTTAAAATTAATTCAGACAAGTTAAAATCTGAGCAGGTGGAATCAGGTTGGAATTGAGAGTGGTTAATACTTGCCAGGACCAACTGTTTCCACTGATCATACCTGTGAGCGGGTTGGGGGCCTCTTTCAGGCTTGTTTTATACAAAGGAAAGTACCTAAGTTAAACTGCATCCTGCCCAAAGGCCTGGCGGAACAGCTCCATCTTGCAGGCACTGAAAGATGTCAAATCCCACAGGGCCCTAGCGTTCCACCAGGCCGGGGCCATGGCTGAAAAGGCCCTGGCTCTAGTCAAGGCCAGTGTAATTTCCCTGGGGCCCGGGATCTTCAAAGTGTTGTTGTTAACAGACCATTAGCAGAAGAGGCGGCCGCATAGGTACAATTGTCCTACGCCATATAGGGCTTTAAAGGTTTAAACCTGATCCTGTATCCCACTGGGAGCCAGTGCAGCTGGTATAGCACCCGATGAATGTGCTCCCGCGGCGAGAACCCCGTAAGGAGTCTCACCGTGGCATTCTGCACACACTGGAGTTTCAAGGGCAGCCCCATGTAGAGTGAGTTACAATAATCAAGCCTGGAGATGACAGTCACATGGATCACAGTGGTGAGGTCAGGGAGAGAGAGACTTAGCTTGACGGAGATGGAAAAATGCTGCCTTTGTTATAGCTGCAACCTGCACCTCCATATAAAGGGAGGCATCGAAGATTACACCCAAACTCTTGATGGAAGGCGCTGGCACTAATTGCACCCCCACAAGGGATGGGAGTTGTCCCCCCAATCCCATATCGTCCCGACCCAGCCAAAGGACTTCTGTCTTCAAAGGATTTAACTTCAACCAGCTCCCATGTAGCCACAACTTCCAAACATCTGATTAGTGTGTCTGGGGCCGAGCCAGTATGGCAGTCCATCAACAGGTAGAGTTGGCTGTCATCAGCATACTGATGGCAACCCAAACCAAAATTCCAGACAAGCTGGACGAGGGGGCACATAAAGAAAAGCATTGGGGGGGGAGCCCGTGTTTCCGGGTCATGTGCCAGCATGGCTAAACTGCTTCTGGTGCAACAGGACACCATGATGGATGCCAGAGTGCACAGAAATGTCATTTACCTTCCCACCACCTATTTATCTACTTGTGCTGCTGTGCTTTTGAACTGCTAGATTGGCAGAAACTGGGAGCCTTCTGATCGGCAAGCCCAAGAGGCTCAGTAGTTTAGACCACAGCACCGCCTCCCCCCCTTTGACTACAGTAGTAATAGTACTGTTAGTAAAATAGTATTCTTTTATCGAAAGTATTTTTTATTAAACTCCACTCTCGACTCTGAGTATATTTCACTTTGTTTATATAACCCATATCACAATAGAGACCATGAGACCAACACATAAAAACTAAACCAAACCAAACCAAGGGTGGCATGGAATGTTACATTTACAATTGGTACAAGTGGAGAGTACCATCATAAGAAATGAGAGACCCAGAGATGTGGCAGACATGGCTTGCAAGATTTACAGAAATATAAATCTGTAGCTGAAACCATCAGAGGCACAAGGAGTACCAAGAATAAAAGGTTCTTTCTTACATCAAGAATTTTTTTCAACCAATCAGATGTTGCTTTCCCCAAATTTATTGGGAGACTTGTGGAAGAGACAAATGTAGATTTTCTTTTTTATGTAAAAATAGTATAGTACTAATTAGTAGTATTTTTTTTTTAGTAGTATATAGGGACGCGGGTGGCGCTGTGGGTTAAAGCCTCAGCGCCTAGGACTTGCCAATTGAAAGGTCGGCGGTTCGAATCCCCGCGGCGGGGTGCGCTCCCGTTGCTCGGTCCCAGCGCCTGCCAACCTAGCAGTTCGAAAGCACCCCTGGGTGCAAGTAGATAAATAGGGACCGCTTACTAGCGGGAAGGTAAACGGCGTTTCCGTGTGCGGCTCTGGCTCGCCAGAGCAGCGATGTCACGCAGTCTATCTAGTATCAGCCTGGCGATCTCACGTCCGAGGCTCTTAATTCTCTCTCTGCTCCTCTTTGCCAGTTTTTTTTGATAGTCTTTTATGTCAGGCACCAGATCTCGTAGAAGTTCTGTCCCAAAAATGTCCATTTTTCTTGCATCCAGGCCTCTATAGTTAAAAATAGAACTCCAATCTTGTTTCTTAATCCTTTTGATCCTGAATGTTCCAAGTAGTCCCACTTCCATCTTGCTCAGGTTTGTACTCCATAGATCTTCTAGTCCCTCCATCAGGAGGTCTCTCCAGTTTTCAATGTCCAGTTCACGCCAGATTTCCATAATCCAATTCCTGTTTTCCTTTATGTCCTTCCTGACAGGCCCTTGGCCTTCCTTAGTCTTCTGCGATGGTGAAACTCCTCCTTCATTCCCTTCCCACTCGTCATAGATCTCCTGTTCCCTTCCATCACATTCTTCAGAATTCTTTTCCTGTTCAGTTGTGTTTCCAGTTTCGCTACAGAAGCTATTTGTTCAGGAACCAAAACTTGCGTCAAGGCCCTTCCATTTTCAGTAGATGCCTCTATTGTTTTCTTCAGTTTAGCTACTTCTGTAGACAAAACAATACTCTGGTCATGCAGTTCTCCCAGGAGATAAAAAGTCCTGTTCAACTCCATCAGTATTTTTCCACTTGCAGCCATACTTGTAATGTCCCAAAACCCCTCTAGCGGGGTTTTAGTTACTTAGTTTCCTTCCAAATCCAAGCCAAAAGTCAAATTAACTTGTTATTCCTTGTTTTCAATACATTATGTCCAAATTGTAACCAATCTAGCCAGCAAAGTCACCAGAACAAAGTTCTCTTTTTTATACTTCACTTTGACAGCTACTTTGACAGCTGTCAAAATCTCAATCTCTCTTCCCCAGGCTCTCTCGCAGTTTACTCCCGGTTCCGAGGGGGGGTTGCACTTTAAATCTCAGTCCACTCTTATCCTCCAGCACTTGTTTTACAGGAAATGATGCATAAATGGAATCAAATGTATAAAGAAATAAGAGCAGCATGTGTGGCTGTTTCTAGAGTGCGGATTTTCTCAAGAGTGTACCCCTGCTTGTCCTCTACTCCTACTTGGAAAACGTTTGGAGAGCAAAAAGTATACATGCTGTACTTACCCAGAAAAGAAGATCCGTATCACACTGTAGAATATTGCAGGATCCACGTAATCTAGGAAGTGAAGCATAAAAACAAAAACAAAACTGGATCAAAAATAAATTTCACATTTCCAAAACTGGTAAAGTCAGTTTATTTATTTATTTTATTAAATTTATATCACACTGTCAGAGCTGCCTAAGGTCCCAGCTCACAGAGGACCAACGCCAGTCCGTTGTTATATAAAATAGTCTTTATTGAAGTTCAGTTTCTCTTTTACAGCCACAGCACGCAGCTCTACGTCTTAAACCCTAGACCGCCGAAGCTCCGTCTGAGTCTCCTCCCCCCAGACACCAGTATAAGACCCTAGCCTTGCTCCATCGCTTCCTCTGCTCCCTCCTCCTCTGGGTCCGCTTGTCCGCCGAGGTCTTGCCCTTCCTAGACTCTTCTGAGGCTGAATCCCCTGAGTCTTCCCCCTCCCTCCGGCGAGCTTTAGGACCTGGTTCCCAATCCGTGCTTTCTGCTGTCCCGCGCGCCTGTACATTTGAACTTGGCGCGCGCGCCCAGCCATGCCACCTTCCTTCTGACCGTTATACTGCTCCTGTCGCTGCTTCCCTCTTCGGGGATGCTAGCTGGGTCTGACTCCTCCTCCCTGCTTGCCGGAGGAGACCCTGACTCTGACCTATGGGGCTCTTCCCCCCCACTACGCTCTGGTGGGGAAGCTGGTCCTGATTTCCAGCTACTGCTTTGGGAGTCTCCGCTGGCCCCCTGCTTCTGGTGTGTCCCCCCTGGGACCCCCCTTGCCCTGGCCATCGGCGCCCCCTTCTGGGAATCTTCTGATTCACTGGAGAGGCTTATGGAATCTCTCGGGTCACTGTCATTCTGCCCTCCGCTGCCCTCAGATTCTTCCCCTTCGCTCTCCATTTCCTCTCTCCCCTGTGCCTCTGCTCCTGAGCCCCTGACACACACCCTTTCTCCAAAGGAGCCCATGCAGAAAACACATCAATACCAAAACAAGACTAGTGAGATTTCTTGAAACAGTTGAAAACAATATTCTAAAAATGCCAAAAAACTGTTCCTATTCTCAAATTAATAATTTCAGGGGTGCCAGGGGTGCCAGCTCTTTAAAACAGGAGTGTTTTAAAATTTCTCCTAAAAGCTAATAATGAGGGAGACTGACACACCTCACTATGGAGGGCATTCCACAAATGAACGTTTCACCAAGAAAGTCATGTGACAGGTCACTGCCAAGCAGGCAACCCTCAGTGGCTGCATTGGGTTTCCCTTGCTGATCATATCCAGTGCTAGTTCTACTCAGAGCAAACCCATTACTAACTTAGGTTCATTCATTTCAATGGAACTACTTTGAGTAGCTGAATCTGCACTTTCTTTTTCACAGGGCAGTAATATTCTCAGGAAGTTGAATTCTGTTGTCAGGATCACATCATGAGACTTTTCCATATTTCTGCACAATCATAGTCTACACACACAACTGTTGTCTTTTAGATAGCCAGCCTTCAGGGGTCTTTGGACTCCAATTCCCATCCACCCCACCCAACATGAGCAATAGTCAGGGATGATGAGAGTTGTGTCCAACAACATCTGGAGGGCCCTACATTTGCTACTCCCATTTTAGAGTGCATATCGCTTTTATGCTATTTTCTCCAGCTTTCTACCTTTTCTGTCCTTGTCCTATGAATGGCTGAGCAATAGTTTGTGAATGAAAATGGGAAATATCAAGCTTACCATGCATTTTCTTCAACACCCTGGCCATGTCTCTGAGACTGCTTGCCACATCCTGCAGTGCTTCTTCCAGGATTCTATTGTCAGGCTGAAGCATGCCATTAACCACCTGTGGCACTGCCTGTAATAATAATAATAATAATAATAATAATAATAATAATAAAACCTTTATTGTCATTACACCACCTGTGTGCAGTGAAATTAAATGACCCCCCCCATACAATGTAGGAGGCAGAGAGGGGTTGGATACAGACTTTTCATTCTAGAATCAAAGTGAACTGAGCACTTGTGCTTTCTATGCAATCAACACACAACTGAGATCCATTGTACATTGTTTTGCCCCTGAAAAGTGTTTCTTGAGAAACTAGCTTCATTCCAAAAACAAAAGCTTATTTGCAGTTTGATTCTGCATTGCCCTTACTTGCCCTGCAGTAAGGCCACATTCACACTCATACATTTAAAGCTCTATGACGCCAAAAGTCATGGCTTCTCCCAAAGATTTCTGAGAGCTCTGATCTCTTAAGAGTGCTGAGAGTCATTAGACAACCCAAGCTTAGTACATAACAGTGTAAAACCATTCTGGGAATTCTAATTCTGAAAGGGGTCTCTCCCAGCAGTCTTAACAAACTAAAGATTGCATAATTCTTTGGGGGGAAGCCATGACTGTTTAAAATTGTATAGTATATGGTGTGAATGGACGCGGGTGGCGCTGTGGGTTAAAGCCTCAGCACCTAGGACTTGCTGATCGAAAGGTCGGCGGTTCGAATCCCCGCGGCGGGGTGCGCTCCCGTTGCTTGGTCCCAGCGCCTGCCAACCTAGCAGTTCGAAAGCACCCCCGGGTCCAAGTAGATAAATAGGGACCGCTTACTGGCGGGAAGGTAAACGGCGTTCCGTGTGCTGCGCTGGCTCGCCAGATGCAGCTTGTCACGCTGGCCACGTGACCCGGAAGTGTCTCCGGACAGCGCTGGCCCCCGGCCTCTTGAGTGAGATGGGCGCACAACCCTAGAGTCTGTCAAGACTGGCCCGTACGGGCAGGGGTACCTTTACCTTTACCTTATATGGTGTGAATGCGGCCTGTGTCCATTTGAAAACAGATCAAAATAGACGGGGCATTTCTGGCAATGGAGTGTGTGTATCCACAATGATGTTGTGATTGCAATAATAGCTCCCTTATTCACCTAGGACATGTGCAGGCAAAAAAGGCTTGGGTAATCTAATCAGGGGGAGGGTAAACACACCCACCCTTGTGTTGTGTATTGAGTCAAAGGATTTTATGTCTGTATTATTATTATTGTCTGTATTTGCATTAGGGTAAAGTAACTGCCTTTTGGTTCCAGAGGGTACAGCTACTATTGGTTCATTTATGCTGCTGTATTTGGATCCTCTGTCTTATTGGTTTCCTCCAAAAGGCAGGACTGTGATTGCCTGATATTGTTCCCTCCAAAATGTATCCTTTCTAGCTAGTTCCCTGTCCCTATAAATGTAGCTCTTCCCTCCTCAGGTTTCAGTCTTGTTTGCTTTAATAAAGAAGTGTTACTAGAGAACTGACTCCAGCATATTATGTCAAGAGAGCTGAAATCACAAACCCCACGTCACAACAACTGGCGACGAAGGTGGGATCCGGAATGCTGAGGAGCGGTTAAACGCAGCCCTGCCTCAGAGTCCGGATTGTAGCTAAGAACAAGACTCACTGGCCAGCTGAGAAGACGACCCTGCCCACAGGACAGTGGAGAGTCCAAGGGTATTGGAGCCCTTCCAGCCATCAGAGCCCCGCACGTGGGAAGGCTACGTCGAACGCTTCGAGTTCTTCGCAGTGGCTCAAGGGATCACCGATGCCAGCAAAAGAAGGGCCACATTCCTGAGCTACTGTGGGCCTGAGATCTTCAAGCTGGCCAAGGCATTGCTTGCTCCAGCGAAGCTAAGTGAGACATCTCTCAAAGATATTCTTGCCTGCCTAACAAGCCATTTGGCGCCTACTGAGACCAAGATGGCCCGGCGGATGGAGTTTCATAAGAGTCAGCAGCGTGCTGGGGAGTCTGTATCTGCATTTCTAGCTGAACTGCGGAAGCTCGCTCAGCACTGCGACTTCCAAGATCTGGAAGAGACTCTCCTGGATCGGTTTATTGGTGGTCTGAGCAGCAAGAAAGCCAGAAGACGCATCGTGGCTAAAGAAGAGGTTACCCTTGCTTCAGCCTTGAAGGAGGGCACCGCCACGGAGAATTATGAAAGAGAGGAGCTTGATGCCAGTCGCAAGGCCCCTAAGCCACAGATAGAAGTTGCGCATGTGTCAGAGCTGCCCGAGGTCCCAGCTCACAAAGGACCAACGCCGGTTCGTTGTTATATACAAAGGTCTTTATTGAAGTTCAGTTTCGCTTTCACAGCTGCAGCGCGCAGCTCTACGTCTCAAACTCTAGACCGCTGAAGCTCCGTCTGAATCTCCTCCCCCCAGACACCAGTTTAAGACTCTAGCCTTGCTCCACCTCTTCCTTTGCTCTTTCCTCCTCTGGTTCCGCCTGTCCGCTGGGGTCTTGCCCTTCCTAGACTCTTCTGACGCTGAATCCCCTGAGTCTTCCCCCTGCCTCCGGCGGGCTTTAGGACCTGGTTCCCAATCCGGGTTTTCTGCTGTCCCGCGTGCCTGTACATTCGAACTTGGCGCGCACGCCCAGCCGGCAACCTTCCTCCTGACCGTTACACTGCTCCTGTCACTGCTTCCCCCTTCGGGGAGGCTAGCTGGACCTGACCTCCCCTCCGTTCCCCCACTCTCCGATAGAGGCGTGGTCAGCCCTGACTCATCTTCTCTCCCCGCTGGAGGAGACGCTGGCCCTGACACATGGGACTCTTCCCCCCCACTACGCTCTGGTGGGGAAGCTGGTCCTGATCTCCCGCTGCTGCTTTGGGAGTCCCCGCTGGCCCCTTGTTTCTGGTGTGTCCCCCCTGAGACCCCCCTTGCCCTGACCATCGGCGCCCCCTTCTGGGAATCTTCTGATTCGCTGGAGAAGCTCATGGAATCTCTCGGGTCACTGTCATACTCCCCTACGCTGCCCTCAGATTCTTCCCCTTCGCTCTCCATTTCCTCTCTCCCCTGTGCCTCTGCTCCTGAGCCCCTGACAGCATGCCATGGACGAGCTAGAGGCTACTCCAAGCCAGAGCCCAGTCCGTGGGGTCGAGTCAGTGCGTCAGGCCTGCACAGTGCACAAAGATCACCGAGGCAGATGCCCTGGTTGTGGCGGAAACCATGAGCGGAAGAGTTGTCGTTTCCGGGATGCTATGTGCCGGACGTGCAGGAAGACAGGTCACATCGCCAGGGTCTGTAGATCGGCGGCGTTGGGAGCGACAGGAACACCTAGACTGGAGCATCGCAGACCGCCCACAGCAAACCATGTTCTAAAGGACTGCCACTACGTAACGGAGATCAACGGGAGGGTCGTGCAGTTTCCAGCGCAAGGCAAGGCACACGTCAAGGTGAAGATTGAGGGTTAGCTGTGCGACATGGAGGTGGACTCCGGATCTGGATTCACTATTGTGTCGGACCAGACCGCGAGGACATTCTTCCCCAGGGGTAAGTTGCCCCCTCTGGAGCCCTTCCCGGCAACTTTGCAGTCATACTCAGCGGGCCGCATCCATGTCATGGGAATGTGTGCCGTGAGAGTACAGTTCCAGGACAAACAGACGGTACTCAAACTGGTGATTGCGAAGGGCAGTCGCCCCAGTCTCCTGGGCACTGACTGGTTCCCCGCCCTGGGACTGAGTATATCAGGGCTTAATTCAATCCAAACCTGCCCTGCGATGAGCGATGCATTATGCAAAGAATTTGCTGGTCTCTTTAATGGAAAACTGGGTTGTTATAAAGGGCCCCCAGTTGACTTCGAATTGGACCCTGGGGTGGCCCCAATCCGACTCAAACCAAGGCGAGTGCCATTTGCACTGCAACCCAAGATCGAAGCAGAGCTGGATAAATTGGTCAAGCAGGGAGTTCTCTCACCCGTGGACTCTGCTAAGTGGGAGACTCCAATTGTCACGCCCCTTAAAGCAAATGGGGAAGTCAGGATCTGTGCAGATTACAAATGTACTATCAATAAGGCACTCAGGGGAAACTCATACCCCATTCCAGTCGTATCACATCTGTTGGCTAAACTGGCTGGGGGCAAGGTGTTCGCCAAAACTGACCTGGCACAAGCTTACCAACAGCTGCCAGTAACCCCACAATCAGCGGAAGCACAGACTATTGTCACACATAAAGGGGCGTTCAGAGTTAACAGATTACAATTTGGAGTTTGTGTGGCCCCAGGGATTTTTCAAGGGCTCATGGAACGCCTGTTAAGAGGTCTGCCGGGGGTCTTGCCATTTTTTGATGACGTTTTGATTGCTGGAAAAGACCCACAGGAACTGGTTGCACGTGTCCGTGCAGTGTTGCTCAAGTTCAAGGAGGTGGGGTTGCAACTGAAAAAGGAAAAATGCAGTTTTGGGGTGCCAACTGTGGATTTCTTGGGGTAAAATTGATGCATCAGGCATCCACCCCACAGATGCTAAGATTAAGGCCATCAGCGAAGCACCACGACCACAGAACAAGACGGAGCTGCAGTCATTCCTAGGACTTATTAACTTTTATCATTCGTTCTTACCCCAGAAAGCTTCGGTAGCTGAACCATTACATAGACTGTTGCAGAAAAAGAATGTGTGGCGATGGGGGCAGGGGCAGCAGAAGGCTTTTGACTCCCTGCGAGGAATGCTGAGTAGCAGGAGCGTCCTTGCTCATTATGATGAGTCGAAGCCGCTGGTCCTGGCATGTGACGCCTCTCAATACGGCCTGGGTGCTGAGTCATAGGGAACCGGATGGGTCGGAGTCATAGGGAACCGGATGGGATGTTTCCTGCTTGGCAGGGGGTTGGACTCGATGGCCCTTGTGGTCTCTTCCAACTCTATGATTCTATGATTCTATGATTCTATGATTCTATGATTCTATGATTCTATGGAAAAGCCCATCTCTTTCTATTCCCGTACGTTGTCGCCCACGGAGCGCAACTATCCTCAAATTGACAAAGAGGCGCTTGCAATTGTGGCAGGAATCAAAAAGTTCCATGATTATGTGTACGGTCGCCATTTCTCCATTGAAACGGACCA